TTATGTTATAAGACCTAGCATGTTGCTATAATCTTCCAAATCTAAGTTTTGATAGATTCATAAATTTATCAGATAATTTCCTCTTTGACTAGCAATAGCAGTTTAACAGAAGAAGAAGGGGATTGCTTCTAAAGAGAAAAAAAATGAGCAAGAAGAAAGGTGGGGAGATTCAAAGGCAAACTTTAAAAGCTTCATATTTCAGCCTGGGTTGGACCTATTTATCTTTATTTGTACATTGACAAATAATAGTCTCTGAACAAAAATTCATGGACTCCTGACTCCATTTCAAACAGAGTTACTGAATTGGGCCTGAGGTTGTTAAGTCTGGACTGAGTGTTAAGGCAAGCATGCTCAATTTTGGCCTCCTCCTTGAGTTAAACCTAGAAAATAAGAATATAACAAATATTATTTTTGATTACCACTTGAAGATTGAGCTATCATAAGATTCAATTTTATTGAGTTATTGAGTAAAATAAATGACTATGTAAGACACAAAAGCAAGCATTATTACCCTGAAATATTTGATTTTAAAATTTTGAAAACATAAGGCTATATGAAAGTATATATATAGGCATCTATGCCTTATTAATTAAATACACTCAGGGAAAATATTAATACTATCAAGTAACAACCTAAAAATGAAAATTAATTAAGACGTATGCAACATACCTTGAAAATAATATAAATAATGCACTAACTCAATATTTCCCCAAATTCTTCAGGGAAAATAATCTCTAGTTTGAAGTCCTGTGAGTCACTGTTAAAAGACAGATTCCTGGGCTGGGACCGTGGCTCAGCGGTAGAGCGCTCCCCTAGCATGGGTGGGACATGGGTTCGATCCTCAACACCACATAAAAATAAAGGCATTGTGTGGTGTCCATCTACACCTAAAAGACAGATTCCTTCCTGGCTTGCCAATTTGGAATCCCCAGATTATGAGCCTGAGAAGAGGTATTTTACAAGCATTATGGTGACTCATGTCCTATGGGTAATTTCAAAACAATTGCTTGACATTTTTTATAGCCAGTTGGAGTTTATACTGAGATACATATTCCTGGGCCCAATGACAGTATAAATCAATATTTTCAAGTGGGCCTTTAGAATTGACAATTTGAGCAATCTCCTTGAGAAGATTTTCTGCAACATAAAGTTTGACACCATCATCCTCCTTAACAGTGTGTTAAGGGCAAAGTTGAGCTTCTTTTATGAAATACTAAGGGATTCATTATAAGAATGTTGAATGAATGCAAGTTATGTTTAGTAAAATAATGATCTGCTTTTATTTTAAGATAGCTATGTGATTACTCCCTTAAACATTCAATCAAGTAAGTTCTTCATAATTAATGTAAGAGGAAAATCCAAATTCATTTGTATTATTTTTGACTTGCAAATTATGAAAGATAATAAATTGTATTTATTGTTCAAATCTTAATATATTTTATTTTTACATATATCTTCAAAAGTTAGTTGAATATACTCACAAAATATTCAGGCTTAGAAAAGTGTATTTACAAATATTTCCTAAGCTTTATCATTTGATTTTTATCTAAAACTGAGACATTATTTCCAGTTCATTAGCAAGATTTTTCAAAAGAAAGGTTTTTTAAGTTTTCTTATGCATTAGAATTCTTTATTTTGTATTCATATTTTCTTGCTCTGATCTTCTAACATTTTAGATTTTCCTGTATTTCAATACTTTTTTTTTTCACCCATTTTCTTCTTTTATGTTCATGGTTTAGCATTTTTCTCAGACTTATTTCTGATTTTTATTTTTCAAGATTGTCTTGATTTATATTTATTTAATATTTAATACTATTTGTTTCTCTCTTTATCATTGAAAAAAAAACAGAAAATTCCTTAATCTGATGTTTAAAACTAAGGAATATTTACTGAAATAAGAAAACTTGGAACATTTTAAGAATTGCATTTTTATCCATTTCAACTAATCAAGCTTACTTGTTGGTTGTTTGCAACTACACATTTCTACTTCTTTTAATAATGAAAAAATCTGTCAAATTTTTCATATAGCTAATTAGCACCAGTGGAAGAAAATCCATCCAGCCTTGTCTCTTTGAGCTTGTCTTAATAGACTTCAGTATCATAAAACATGCTGGAAAAAAAGTAATATTTTACCTATATTATTCTGATATCATTTTTGGTATGTCCCATAAATTGTGTTTGTCATTTTTACCATTGAAAAATGGTAAAAATAAAAATAAATGAAACTAAGTTTATAGCTGTGTGTTTAATACATGTTTTTCTCATACTTTGAATATCTTTCACATATATAAAAAGTTCACTGAGTAACATGGAATATGTAAAAATGAGTAAGGTTTGATCAACCTGAGGGTGCTTATAGACTAGAGGGAGAAATAAGATATAAAGTATGTGAAGCAAAGTAGAAAATTATGGAAATCTTAAAAAAATGATCTAGAAATTTCCTAAGGGAGACAAGAAAAGGTAATAGTTTGAAGCATTAGCGAAGCTTCATCCAGAAATATGGCATTTGGGCAGAGATTTAAAGGATGGGTGAGGTTTGGCGTAAGGTGATGAAGACCAACAGAGGCTTTCTAGGCAAAGGGAAGAAAGTGAGAAATGGTATGGTGAAATGTGGAGGTGGGGATAATTCAATGTGACCAGAGTACGTGATAGTTTGGGGGAAGAATCAATGTATGTAGTTTAGTTAGAAATGTGGAGACACCAATGATACCTAATCAATAGGTAGGGAATGACATATTCAGTGTTCAGTGACAATTCTTATGGAGTTCTTTGTCTGCAGCACATGCTTAGATAAATACTTGGCTCTATGATATAATCCTCAAAATAATAGTATCAAATAAGTATTTGTTACAGTACCATTTCACAGATAAAGAAAAGGATTAGAGAAGGGAAATGACTGACAAAAGTTGAATCTTAAATAAATAGCCTTCCTGAGTAAATGTATTTTGAGAGGTTAGCATGAACCCAGAAAGTGAGATAGCATAGAGGAAACTGTAAATAAAAGATGGAAACACTGTTGAACATGATAGTATGATGGTATCTTAAAGTCCTAAGAAATAGTAATAAGGTCCTGCCTATGGTAATGAAAAGTTGATCTGGGAAACACAGATTTTTTGATTTATTATATTTTCCCTAAGAAAGCACCAAATATGTAGGCGCACTCCCCAATCTAAGGTCCTCTTTTAACATCTTTCACAGAATTATTGAGATTTCTTTTGCAGCCCTTGTCAAGAATTGGTATTACACATTTGTGTGACTATACTTCATATCTATTTCCCCCTCTTGGTGGTAAGGTTCAGGTTAGACGGGTCATGCTTAAGAAACCCAATACTGTGTCCATCAACAGTTAATATTTAAGAGTGGATGAAGAATAACTAGAAAGAATGGATGATAGATAAATAAATGTAGAATAAAAAATGACTTCAAGAACTTTGAGTTAAAATATGAGTGGATAGTATTAGAATAGAGGAAGGGAAGGGAGTATATATATATATATATATATATATATATATATATATATATATTTACATATACTTCAAGATATAGAACTCTGAGAACGAACATTCATTAAAACAAAAAGTATCTAAAAGCAAAAAAAAGAAGTCATTAAAAGAAAACATAATGCATGGTCTTATTATTTTAAGGCTATATTCCATAGCATTTACCAATAAGCTCAACTAGTTCCATCCTTTTTATTTTTAACTCCATCCTTTTTTTAACCTTGAGTTTGATCTTTTTGAAAATGTTGAATATTTCATAGAAATACATTAAACTAATGGGTCATTTTTCCATTGTCTATATAATTGATAAAATTTTAAAAAGATGGGCCATCATTACATGTAGTATAATTATGGTCTCAAACAATCACTGACTGTGTAGTCTATCACTCTTTCAGTTATTTGGTCATTTATTTGTTCTTTCTTCAAAATTAAACTAGTTTTTAGGACTAAAGGAATAAATAGTTAGGTTCACAAATTTTTGAAGCAAACACTTATCCACTGTGACTAAAGCAAAATAAATTGTCTAAACCTCTGGATCTTTATTCACCTTAACAAATGATAGAGGTAACCAAAAGTTAGTCTTAGTTTGAAATGACTTTCTCATTTTCATTAGAACAAAGTAAGTCCTCTTTTAAAATCCACTTTAAAAATAGGAAAAGCATTCTGAATCAGTAAGCAGACCAATAAGCCAGCAAAAAGCCCTGGGATGTGAGAGTTCTGGATTTTGCTGCATGTATTCACATAGGAATAATAGTACTGGAGAGACTGATAAAAAAATTGCATGACTAATTCTAGCTAATTACTATCAGTGTGTTCTTAACCTGTCTACAAACAAGAAATTCATATAGTACAAAATCAAGTCTAGAAATCAGAGAAATGTTTGTGTTTAGAGAACATTTCTTCATGGAATTGGTAGTTTAAGGGTATTTAGTCTTAGTTGTTCTTTTCATGGATCTAGATTTGAAAGCAATGCCTTATAAAATGTACGTTGCTCTTTAGTTTTTAGAGTAAAAACTCAAGTTTTCAACTCAATAATTATGTTTTAAAAATTATGTGAGAGGTAGCACAGTTAAATAAAATACTAAATTGTAGTTCAGACAAAAGTTCCCTCCTATCCCTTACTGGCATATATAGGACTTGTCTACATCCAACAATTCTGAAAATTTTTCCTCAAGGAAAAGAAATATAATAATCTGAAATTCAAGAAATGTCTCACACGAAATGAAAAATGATGTCAGCGCTGTGCAGTTGGAGAATTGCCTTTTAGCAATGCATAATGTGCTCAGAACTTCAGTGCTTTGTAATTTGCTAACCTTCAATAAAAATAATAACCATAGTAATTATAAGACCTGAGATATGAATACCACAAAACAGTCTCCATCAAAACCCAAAAACCAACAAAGCTCAAATTGTTTCACTGATACACACATTTACAAAAGAGGCATCCCAAAACTTCATATTTATTTTTCTAAAATCATGTTAATTTCTTATTTATTTCAGGCATTACTAGAGACTCAAAATTTACTGCGCACTCAGGTTGCAAATTTTACCTTCAACCTTGGATTTTCAGGGAAGTTTTACCATACAGGTAAGAAGGAGCTTTGTGTTCTCAGGCAGCTACATATAAATAGGACATAGGATTATAAATGTTCCATAATAAGTAGGAGAAACAGAATGTCCAGATTGATTATGGGAAAAACTTGGGTGCATTATATGAGAAGCCAAATCCAAAATCAATGAGCTCGTTTACTTTGGTAAATACTATTAAAATCAAGGACAAAAGAGAAAGAGAATTGACTTTTTCAACTCAGTACAAGAAACCATAATTATTGTTTTAAATATGACTGTGCATCTTGTTTGTCAGCACAGCCCAAGTGAGAGCATACCTCAGTAATGATGATGATGATGATACTAATACTAATAATAGTGGGCAGTATTTTAAAAATTTTGAGTGGTCAAGGTATTGGAGACTTTTGTACATATTATTTACCTTTGAAAAACATCTGGTGATGGGAGAGGAATTTTATAGCCTCAAAGAAATTTATTGATCTTCCTTTGTAGGATTTTTACCTGAAAATACTAAGATGAATTTGGCCAAATATCCATTAAAACCTTCACAATCAAGCTTGCATTTTTTCATAACTATAATTTCTGTTCAATCTAAGCCTCTCAACAGGTTCACAAAATGAGACTTGTGTTCATTACTACTTACTCTGTGTTCTGTTATTTCTCACCTATTTTTACTCTCACCTTCAAATTTTGACTTTCCTTTTCTGAATATTAGGATTGTACTAACTGTAGAGAAAACAATGTGGATAAAATTGTCTTGCAGTGAAGACAAAAATACTACTAAATAGTGCTGGTATTTGTATTAAAAGAATACCAACATCTACACCTATTTGTGCTTTTATGCAGTGAGTTAAATGCTTTGTTTAGGACTTTGCATTGTTGTTTTATTAGCATCTTAGTGGAAACAATTCACAGTGTTCTCTGTGCATGTATGCAGTTTATTGATTCATTGCAAATATCCCATGCAAGGGTAGTGTTTAATTATCATAAATTGAGCTTGTTTACCCAAAGAGACTGTTTAATATAGAAGCCCAGCATGGTTTATTAGAATATTGAAGTCACAATGTCTTATTGGCTTTTCCTTGATGCTTTTTCTCCTGCTTTGTAACATGTAAATCTGCTTAAAGTAATAGAAGGAAAATTAGTATTTAGACCAGTTGATAAATCAGATGATTGCATATTTTAAAAGGACATTTTGTAGAATAGATTTGGGTCATCATATCTGCACAGGCAAAGCAATTTCAGCTTACAATTTTGAAAATAGATATGATTTTATAAATCTTCTTCAAAAGCACCCTCAAGAAATGAGTTCAGGCCTAAGAAGCTCTGACTATGAAATTATAAAGCAGATAACTGTGCAGGCTGCATCTACTCATGCAGGAGAAAAATTATGGGATTATTTGGAACTCACATACAAACAATACTATTTTGTCTTAAATAGTTATATAGTGTAAGGAAAACATTCTTTTGGCTGAAATATACCTGGATAATCACCTCCATTTTTATTTACTTTTCCCACTCAGATCTCCTAAACCTGCCAGACATTTGCAGAATTAATGTTGATAGAGGTTATGACGCGTTCCATTTCTTATTTACAATCCTGAACATGTATATGGTACACATCAAATGAGCAGCATACCAATCAATATTACAGGGTTAATTGTTGAAGGAAGACCAAAAAAATAAAAGCAACATTTTAATTTTATTTCTTTCTCTCTCTCTCTGTTTTTTTTTTTTTTTTTTTTTTTTGAACTGTGGTTGTAGAGATTGAACCCAGGGCACTCTACACTGAGCTACATCTTTATGCCTTTTCCATTTTTGAGGCAGATTCTCAAGGCTGGCCTTGAACTAGCAAGTTTCCTGCCTCTGCCTCCCTGAGTAGCTGGTATTACACATGTGTGCCACTGAGCTTGGCTTTCATTATATCTCTCAAGGAAACCTTATTGACTCTTTGTATTGAAATTATCCTAAAAAATAATGGAAGAAACACTGTGCTGCTGTGCTGTGGTGATAGTGCACTTTAGAGAATAAACACCATATATAAAATGGCAAGTCCTGGAAGTTTAATAACCTTCATATAATTATGTAACTTTTATTTAACTATTATGCTGTTTTATCCACAGGAACATTGAAAATCATCCATAACATTTTTCAAGGATGCAATCATGTCATGTTAAATACTTATTAACACACATAGGCATATCAAGGTTTCTTTCAGGGCTGAATTACACATTAGTGATACCCACTGTAAGAAAGGCAATGCCTCACCCTCCTATAGTCACATTCCTATATAGAAACTTAACATTATAGAAAAAGAGATTACAAATCAAGCCAGTGCTGTGTTTTTGTGTGTGCTTGGCTGTGATGCGTAACCATGCAGAGATGGCCTTGTTGCAATGAGAGCTTAGTTCTTCCTCCAGATGATCTGGCTTCCCAGTGCATAAAGATGCTGATTGATGAGCCTCATTGTTTTGAAGACATTTAATCACATATGTCCAGTGTAATAATGATTGATTCTGCATATTTCAGTCTGATTCACTTATTTGTATTTCTCATGTATTTTTTCCTGTTCAGTTTCTCTGTCCTTCACATGGTAAAAACAATCTCCACCCAAAAGGGCATATTCCTAAGCTTTTCATAAAAGTCATTCATCCGCAGGTGCTAAATTGAAAGAGGAAGGACATGGTGTTGATTAAAAGGAAAAAAAAATAAAAGTATGGGGTTGAGAGTGAAATATTTTAGTTGGGAAATATTTACAACTTGATTGAAATTGCAAAATGAAAACTCAATTGAAAAATGAAGACATTACAGCATTAAGAAGATGACTTTTAGGCATAGAGGAGCTACAAATTTTATTTTTCATAGAACACAATCATTGCTGTTCTTTGTAATTCATAATAAATTGAAAATGATTCAATAATTAATTCATGAATAATGTTTGCAAATTGGATTAATGTTGGTCTTTTCCATGACAGTCAGTTTTTACAAAAAAACACCAATTTATGTAAAGTTATTAACTTTCAAACATGAAAATAAGAAAAACATTACATTCTTTCTCCTTTAGTTATTTTTTGTTTTTTTACCTTTTCTTATGAAGGGTGGTTTAAAAGACTAGATATTAGAAACAGACTGCTTGTGTTAAAATCCAAGTACTGACATTTTACTAGCTATTTGAACAAAACCATGCTTCTGAACATTTATATTCCTCAGTTTCAACATCTCCACAATGGGGAAATAATATCTCTTTTATCTGGAATAATGTCTAGTTTGTTGTTAGTATTCTGTTTATTATTGAGGTTTTAAGAGTATTTTGTATAAGAATCAAATATTATCAAAAATAAACAATAGATAATTTGCACTGCTCTTTTTTCTAATTTTGGAACTTCAGGTAGCTTTTAATCAGTTTTTCATCATATCGCTCATCTTACTTAGTATAATACTTAAAATTAGTTTATTCTATATTAACCTGTATGTAACCATATAGATTCAAGATACAAAGTAAATTAGGAAATATCTTCTTACTATTTAAGAATAATACTAAACAAATATTTGTACAAACAAAAGAGATAATACTGACACTGGAATTTTATGTATTTTATTTTAAAGTTACAATTGTGCTTTTAAGGAGGTTGACTTACACTCCAGATCTTGCTAAAGTTTGTCTTATTTTGGTAGACCTAAAAGAACTCTTCTTAGAAGCATATTATCTCATAACACAGATCCTCTAAAAGTGATAGCAAAGAAATTAACTCTTTATATATCATACTTCTGAATCAAAGTACTTCTTAAACTCTGGGAATCAGAAAAAGTAAAATAACATAATTTTTAAGTAAGAATAAAATTCACTTTTTTACTAATGATGATCTAGATTTGAATCTAGATCAAGTTAGAAGTAAAAAGGCTCAATTTGACCACAGATATTTAAATAAACTGTAACTTATGTTACTATGGGAATATATGGAACACAAATTACATTTTCACACATAATTCAAGTACACATTAAGTACTGAAGATGTGTGTGTAAGATAAGTCGAAAATATAATATTTTCATTTAGCTGAGTTTGAAAACATTTGGAATTCTTCTGTTCCTTTAGCATGACTTGTATCATATTTTTCATTAAACAGTTTTCACTGTCAAGGGTCTGCCTCATGTGGTTTTGAGTTGTTTGACCAGCATAATAAGAGAAATGCTGACAGAAAGTAATCCATGATGTTGAAAGAATTTAAAAAGGAGGCTTTAAATGTCATTCTCAACCTTATGGAGAGTGTTTATAAATTAGCATAATCTCTGATATGAAAATTACTAAGATTTTACAATCAGCCATGCATCTGTTTATATCAATAGTCTGCAAAATTTTCCTTAAATTGAGTAATTGACCTTCTTCCTGGTCAAGTATGCATTATGTGCTTCCTGCCACTTACAATAATGATCAATGGAGTTTAAAGTGAATAGAAGCATTTCTCAAACATTCTGTATTCAAAGCACAGCGGACTAATCCCAGAGAGTTAAGAGAACCATCAATTCCTTCATCATATGTGACATGAAGTAACTCATTCTAATCTATGATTAAGTCTGCCAAATTATGGCCTTGAGAAACATCTGTAGCATCGTTATGCTACAGATGAAGAGATAAACTATTCCTCATTTGGATTTCAATATTCAATATTCTTTTACTATATTAATGAAAGTCAATAAATTGTGAATCTGTATTACTAATGATTTTTAGATAACTTTAACAAAAATTAGGAATGTTATCTGCTCATTTTATTCATAGGACTTACCCACTTTTTAAACTTCCATTTCTTTATTCTTTGGAGTGACATTTGTGTTGCCAAAATCCTATTTAAATCAGGCCATTCTTTCAATTTTAAAGGACTGTGGATTAAGGATTATATTCCAGGAACAATGAGTGTATTTAAAAAGACATACAAGTTGGTTTATACTTTATTGGCCTTAAGAAATTTTGAATGTTCATTGATTATAGTAACATAGATGGAATTAAACTATTCGTTTATTCACTTTAAAATAAATAGAATTTTAAAGAATGGTACAAATTTTTTTTTTCATTGGTTAGTTCTAGAAGATGGATTTCTATGATTTGGGAGTTTTATTTTTGATTTTTTTTGGATTTGTATCTTTCATCACTATGTTTTTTGTATTTCTAAAATAAATGAGCATGATTTTTGTAGTCAGAAAAAGAATTAACAATTCAAAAGTTAAATTACAAACTCAAATTTTTCACATATATATGTGCATATATGTGTAGGAAAATTTTTAAGAGAAAAGGAATTATCTTTCATCATGAGTTCTTTGTACAATGAGAAATAAGTTGATAATTTTGAAACAAAAAAAAAACAAATGATTTAAAAGTAGATCTACTCTTTTATTACAACATGCTAGCAATTCTAAAAATAAAAATATCAGTAATAAAATACTCCTAAATACTAAATTAAGCAACTCTCTGCACCTGAGGCCAGCACCACCTACCTCCATGACTTCCCAAGTCACTTGTCTCTGATGTAATTTTTCCTGATTAGAAAAATCACATAATTGAACCTACGTATCAGTAGCATGAAGGATTAAATAAATTTTACAAAAATAACTTTTAAACTAGTACAAATTTTTCACTAAAGTCATTTTTAACTTTGTGTTTATAGGAACTGAAGAGGAAGATGAAGGAGATGATCTTCTGCTGAGGTCTGTGGATGAGTTCTGGTGGTTTCCACACATGTGGAGCCACATGCAGCCACACCTCTTCCACAATGAGTCATCTTTAGTTGAGCAAATGATTCTCAATAAGGAATTTGCACTGGTGAGCACATTTTATTGTAGTAGTTTTCAAACTACTCATCTAGTAGTGGATTATTAAATCAGTTTATCATAATAAATTCTATAGAAATACAATAAAACAGAATATCGGAGTATAACACAGTTATTAAGGATGCATGTTGTGTTTTGTGGTATTTTATTTCAGGACTGTATACATGCATGGGGCTGAGAGATATATGTGATATATAGATAGATAGCTTTCTATATAGATACATATAGATATAAATCACAATAATGTCTTTCAAAAGGTCATTTTCAGAAAGTTGCTACATCCTGATTTATTAGAAAATTATTAGAGTATCAATGAAAAGACCGAAAAAATACTTTCTCATCCTCCATTTCTCCATTACATTCCAAATGCCATATGATTAGAAAAATCATTTGCTTAAAAATCATTTGCTGCAAGAACAAATGGAAGGATGGATGAATTGAATCATTGAAATAATGACTCTAGATCAGTGGCTCTCAAACTCCAGTGTGTCTCCATTTCACCTAAAAGTCTTTTTGAAACACAGACTCTGGGTCTTACTTTGAGAGTGCTGATTCAGGAAATCAGCAGAGTAGCTTGAGAATTTGCATTTTCAAGAAATTCTCAAAATGATGCCCACAAAATCTAGAAGAATCACTTGTCTAGTCCAGAAGCTGGTTAACTAGGGCCCATGGGACAAATGTGAATTATTGTTTGTTTTTTATGATCCCTGAACAAAAAAAAAATGTTTTGTTATTTACATTTTAAATGATTGAAAAGCAATCAAAGGAACAATATTTAGTAATATAAGAATTATACTAACTTCAAATTTCAAAGTCCACATATGAATTTTATTTGAACACTGCCACAGTCAGTCCTTTATATCGTCTGGAGGTGCTTTTCCACTGTAACAGTAAAGTTGAGCAGTTGCACATTACACCAACTGTCCCCAAAAGCATAAGATATTTCTCTCTGGATCTTTACTAAAATGTATATGCACGTCTGTTGTAGATGTTAATGAAATTATGTATCCCTTTAAAAATGTAATGGAAGATTGAAATCTTGTTCCCAGAAAAAACACTCAGATACACATTTAGACATATAATCACAAAGGTTTGTGATAATCACAGGGCCCAAACACCCTGGATCTGGGTTAGGGAACCCTGTCATGAAAACAAGCAATTCTTTTGTACTGAGTAATTGTTGTTATCTTTGTTTTTTTAAAAAAATATATGTATTTGGAAGCTAAGCCCTCAAATGGATGCAGTAATATTTTATAAAGTTGTGCCTAGATATTAAGTTAACTCCCTCTCTTTCCAGCTCTAAATTCCTATGATAGCATCAGATCAGCACAAAGAACCTTTAGAAGTAAGAGTTAATAACATCAAAGGCAGTTATGATCATGAACTCAGTCACCAGAATAACTTGTTTGAATCCTGACCTTCTAGCAATGACTTCTTGATCTTGAATACATTAGTTAGATTCTCTATGTCTTATACTTCCCCTGTGTAAAAATGAGAATAATAGAAACAACCACTATATAGGATTACTGTGAGGGTATGTAAAATATGCTTAATGTAGTGCCTGACATTCAGCAAGCATTCAATAGGTGCTATGTCCTTTCTAAATACAGACAAGTGTGCAGTTATTTCTTTAAATAGATAAGTATGCAGCTATACCTTCCCTTAAATAGTCAAATATACATATATGTATATATAATGTATAAATATATCATACACTTGTATATTCATTTTATATACGATATACATATGTTTATCTATATATACATTATATATATATATATATATGGCTTAATGTGTGTGTGTGTGTGTGTGGTTAGTCATCATTTAACCCTTAGAGAGAGTCTAATAGATTTAGTACTGCTTCATAACATTGTAAAATTAAGTAAATTTCCCCTTTTCAAAAATAAACATACCTTGAGTAAGCTATCTAAATTTTCTCATTTGTGGTTATTTTGAAAATAAAATGTGTTTTTCACTTGGTTTAAACCTTCCCGACTCCTCTACCACTCTGAAGCCTTGTTTTTTTAGGCTTGTAGGTCATATTTCATAATGGCTGATTTCACCTATTTGTGTAATTTCTTTTTAAAAGCCATGCTGAGAGCTCTGGGAAAGACTCAGATGTAATTGCTTTGTAATGAAATGTTGAAAGCTATTTAGAGTCCATTCAGAGCAATTACATTTGTTTAGTTAGCGTGGCTAGAAGCTAGACTTAAACCTATAAATATATTTTGTAAAATATATCTTATTATGTGCTGCATAGTCAAAATATTGCAACTTAAGTGAAGTCTGTTAAACACACACACTGAAATGACATTGTCCTTCTTCTGGAGTTCAACTCAATAAAACTCAGGACATTTTAAACAGTAACATTCAGAGCCCCACCTTTACTATTAACATAATATGACAATATGTTTACTGTCCAGAAAGCAAGAAATTTCTTTCTTTCTTATTAAATGATCTTCTTTTCCTATTCAGGTGACACTTTAAAATCATCAACAGTATTGAGACAGGATAGGACAGTAGAAAACACTGACGGAGAGGTTGGCAGGATAAATATTAGCCCCAACTGCTAGTACAAAATTCTAATGGAGTGGGCAACTTTTTAAGTGTCTTCTTGCCTCACTTTTTCCCCCCGAAATAGTAATGCCTCCCTTTTTCATTCTCCACACCACAAAGTTTTGAGATAATTAATTTAAATCAACTCATCTGCCAACCAAAAGCACTGGACCAGATAATGCCACTGATCAATTACAGCTTTAAAATTCTGTGATCACTGACAACATCAGTCCACAAATTTGAATTGAACATCTTGAAATACTCATCTAGCTTCCATTGAAGTAATTATGGAAAGAGATTTTCAAACTAAATGAATATTTATATGGATAAAAATCAAAAGTGTCCTCCCGCTACTTCTTTTTAAATTTGTCCTGTACTCCTAACTACTCTTTAGTTTGACCTTGAGTACCAGAGGGTTCCTCAATCTCAAAATCACAATTGTTCTCATAGCATTTCCAAAAATGATTCAAATGACATATTAATAGTTTCATCGTGATATTTCAGAAATGGTTTTTAAAACATAATCAATCAGCATGGTCTTTTGTGGAATTTCTCTGAGTTCTTTCTGGATAGAGTTCATTTTCTGTTATATATGTTTAAAAATCATGAGAGTAACACATTGTCATACTGTTTCTTTAACCCTTCATTATTTTGGAAGAGGCTTTATTAATTATCATTGCTCAATCCAGGTACACATGATATGATGTGTATGTGGGGGTTGCATGTATGAGCACAAAGGAATGCAGTGTAAGTGCATGTATATGTGTGTGTATATGCTAATGCATGGATACATATGTTGTGTGTGTGTGTGTGTGTGTCTGGACAGATAGCATCAATTTAATGATAAGCACAGTCAACCAAGATAGGATAGCTACAATATACCTTACTTAGTATGGAAATAAAGTGAAGAAAAATATTTTTAGTTCATTTTCCTTTAATAAATCATAGATCTTTGCTGCCATTCAGTTGCTTGAGCATGTCAATAAATAGAAGCAAAGCTTCAAAGATGATAACAAAGGCTGAAGAAAACTAGAAGCATCAACTAACATGAAAGCAGCTAATGAAAAAGTTACCAAAAATCATTCTGATTTAACCTGCATCTCCATTTTAATCACAGAAAGAAGAGCGCCTGTAGCATAAATCTGAATTATTTATTTTTATTCTGCAATAGACATATGAAAAAAGTTTTTGAGAATTGTTTTGTTGTTTTAAGTTTTAGATACATACTCATTAAATTTCCCAAGTCAGTGTGGCTTTTCAGTCCACTGATAATTACAGATCATAACGTACCCTGAAGGGATAAGGACCAACTTTTTGTCTTCAATGCTGACATTTTAAATAACAATGTAAATTTTCTTGATGTTCTATTGAACAGTAGGTTACCTTATTCTTGACCAAGTAAATAAAGATTCTTTAAATAAAAGGCACAAGCTTTATAAATTCTACTTTTTCACTTTTACATATTTATGAAATCTATATAACTTCCTCATAATTAGATGCAATTTTGTGAAGTAAAAATTTCTGAAATTTAGATTGTTCTTGTAAAAAAAAAACAAACCTATCAAAAAGCATCTATGGAAAAATCTGTTATAATAGACTGCACTCAATTTGCTATATAGATGTCATATTAAAAAGTAATCAAAGGAGGGGGCTGGGGATGTGGCTCAAGTGGTAGCGCGCTCGCCTGGCATGCGCGCGGCCCGGGTTCGATCCTCAGCACCACATACAAACAAAGATGTTGTGTCCGCCGAGAACTAAAAAATAAATATTAAAAAAAAATTCTCTATATATATCTCTCTCACTCTCTCTTAAAAAAAGTAATCAAAGGAATATGAAAATGGAATTTATGGCACAATAAGGCAAATGTCAGAGAGAACTGACTATGGATGCCTGCAACGTCAACATCTTAATGGATCATGTAACATACGGCCTTGTGCTGTACAGCAAATAAAAGATGCCAAGAATTGACAATTAAAACTAATAGGGTATAAAAGTAGGGAATTTAGGAAAAACTAATAATCACAAAATTCAATGATGATACACAGTCTTTACATTCAGAAGAGGGGATACATTCACATGCATTATTATTATTTATATATTATATTATGCATTATTAATAATAAACCTGAACATAAAACATAGAGAAAAAGGAGAAACTTGTGCAATATGCAATAATATGGATGAATATTGAGGTTATAAGAAGCTAATCAGAGAAACATAAATATTACATGATTACTCTTATATTAGGTATTTAAAAATGTCAAGTTCAAAGAATCCCAGAATGGAATAGTAGTTTATAAGGACTGGGGGGAAGATAAAATGGGGAGTTGTTAAACATGGAACATACGTTTTAGTCTAGCAAGATGAATATATTCTAGAGATTTGTGAGAGAACTGTAATTGACAATAATGTATTTTGAACTTAAAAATTTGTCAA